GACAGAGTTCTCTCTCTACCATTAACCTATGAGACAAGAATAATACAGCACATTTAAGAATAAAGTTTGCAATATGACATGACAATGTGAAAATTAAAGCCCCACTATTTCTATGCAATGCAAGAGCTTTCTACATAGAGTGCTTTGACAATTTGTGGGATTTAAAAAAAATACTTTTATTTTTTTGTTCTTATAAACATTTAGGGGCACTAGTGACATTAGGTGAGGCAGGCCAGGGATTTGGACACCTTACCATCTACTAGACAACCTACCTGATTTGAAATGATGCAAAGGCATTAATAACAATGCAAAATGCATTGAAAATTCAGTTTGGGACTTTTTTTTTACATAAAAACATTAACTCTTTTGCATATTTTAAGATAAGGAAGTTTCTTAGAAAATAGCTAATATCTAAATCACTAATCAAAGGAAACTTTGGTTGTTGTTGCTGTTCAGAACTTTACTAAGAGCTGTTTTTCACTTTGAGAGATTATATTACCAATGTCAAAATCACTCCAAGTATTTGAATCAAAGTATTTGTATCAGTCTGCAGTTGAGAATCACATATATGGGGATCCCTGGGTGGCGCAGCGGTTTGGCGCCTGCCTTTGGCCCAGGGCGCGATCCTGGAGACCTGGGATCAAATCCCACGTCGGGCTTCTGGTGCATGGAGCCTGCTTCTCCCTCTGCCTGTGTCTCTGCCTCTCTCTCTCTGTGACTATCATAAATAAATAAAAATTAAAAAAAAGTTAAAAAAAAAAGAGAATCACATATATGTTAATTCTACCAATAGATGAAAGCATGTAACTACTAAATTATGTATCCCAGGGTAGTTGTTTACTCTTATATGTTAAAATATATGTCAGGGATGCCTGGGTGGCTCAGTGGTTTAGCGCTGTCTTCAGCCCAGGGCATGAGCCTAGAGACATGGGATCGAGTCCCACGTCAGGCTCCCTGCATGGAGCCTGCTTCTCCCTCTGCCTGTGTCTCTGCCTCTCTTTCTCTGTGTCTCTCATGAAAAAAAATAAATAAAATCTTTAAAAAATAATAATAAAATAATAAAATATCAGATTTTTCTTTATATTATAGTTGGAACATTGTGCTGATTATTTTGAAATCATATTAATAGATGAAATTACATATTGTTTCAGCATAAAAAAGTTATCATGAATTACTTTATATAAAGGGGGTCATTAGGTCTAATAGGGTTGAGAACTACTAACTACTTCTACCTGACTTAGCCTCTTTGAATCTTGGCTTCTTTATCTATAAAATGGGGTTAATGTTACCTGTCATAGAAGATATTTATAGAAATTAAGTGAAATAATATCTTACAGCAGTTAGTACAGTGACACACACTTAAGCATTTGATCTATAGTAGTCATTAATATAATGTCCTCATTATATTAGTTATTCTTGAAGTGAGGATCTAAGTTTGTTAATATCTCTATTCTTAACGCAATTTCTGGCATGCATCTAGTATTCAAAAAATATTTATTTAAAAATCTGCAAAGTTTTGCCAAAATAAAATTCTCTTTATTATATTTGAAGGAAAAATAATGTTATCATTCTTAGAAATATCATGTATATCAAAGAAATTCTCCAATTTTGATTGCTATTTTATTATTAAAATGTGGTAGAAATAGTGGGGATGGAAAAATAATCTATGACACTGTGTCCATCACAGCAAACAAAACCACTTTCAGCCAAGGAGAGCAATTAGAATAAATGACAGCACAACTGTCTCCTATCTAACTCAGAATTCCAAAGATAACACACCTGAATTTAGAGTAGTGAGGATATTGAGGTAGAGAGATTTTTGGTATTTAACCCAAAATTTTATTTAAAATTGCTTAGATTTTAATTTCTTTGCTGTCAAAAAGAAAAAAAGAAATCAACGTTGAAACAAAAAACCATCTCCCAGCCCATTTGCATTATTCTTAGAAAATTGAAAAATTTAGAATATCAATAAAAATAGTTAGCATTGCCATAAACTTAAAATGCAAAATAACACAAAATCAGAAATTAATCCTTTTTTTGTCACCTTTTAATAAATCACCAGAGTTCATGTAGGTCCTAGGAGACAGATACGTGATGTAATTTTTACTTGCAAATAACAGGTGCAATAAATAGCAAACTCTATATAATAAAGATTGGTAAATATTTCTAGAATCTATTATTTAATAAAATCAAAACATCCTGTCTAGTTTTTAGGAATATTTGAGGCCCTAGTTTTTGTTATAAATTTAAGGTGGAACTTATGTGTGTATGTATATACACACACATATATACATACACACAAATAATAATCCACACAAGACAGTAATAACATATATATGTGGTTTTTTTAATTTATTTATGATAGTCACAGAGAGAGAGAGAGAGAGAGAGAGAGAGAGAGAGAGAGAGGCAGAGACACAGGCAGAGGGAGAAGCAGGCTCCATGCACTGGGAGCCCGATGTGGGACTCGATCCCGGGTCTCCAGGATCGCGCCCTGGGCCAAAGGCAGGCGCTAAACCGCTGCGCCACCCAGGGATCCCATATATATGTGTTTGTATATATAATATATGGATACATGTATAACTTTTCCTTGTAATTCATAAATGTATATGTTCACATACATATTGTGAGTTTCTATGTGTATGTATATACATATGTCAAATGGAGAGTGAGAATACTGTAATAACTCTTTTCAAATTCCTATTAGAAATGACTCCTTTATACAAGATGGAAGTAAACCTTCCAAATACCTGCTCACATTTCCATTATTTTTTTCATTAATTTGGTTTATATTTTCGGTTATGCCATCAAGAGTTCATTTCTTCACCCTTATACCTATCTACTCGTTCACCCACTTAGCAGTTATTTTTTGAGCACCCATTAACATATAGACAAGATCAAGACTTTGTGAGGTTCTATAATTCAACCAACCATACGCTTCCTTTTTTAATGTCAAAATTAAGTGCATGTGATATTAATGGATTTAGAACAAATATAATCAATAATGTGCCCTGGTTCTTGTGATTTTACTGAAAGGAATTTGAATATCTCTATTTCTCATTGATTCTGTTTTTTCATTTCTTAATTAAATAAATTTTTAAATTTAGAATAATTATAGAGTTAGACAGTATAGAGTTGGAGAGACATTGTAAAGACATAAGAGTCCCTGCAGGTCCTCCAGCCAGATTCCTCTATTATTAACATCTTACATTACTAACATCGGTTCTTTTTTTTCTCATAAAGATATGCCAGTTCCTACTTTATCTTTCCCAAAGAGCTTTTTGTAAGGAATATTTAAAAATAGACAATGTTTGCTATTATGTATCAGGTTTAAACTGTCAGAAACATATTTTTATCTTTGCAGAGTAAAGATAGTAATGGGACTAGTATTGCAAATACTGGAAATGACATGAGGATTTTGCAATGCATATAAAACCAGAAAATTAGTTCAAGACAGTGTGGTGAAGAATCATCACATATGGATGCTCAGCATCTATGAACACCTCCTTCCATTTTGACTATATTTCTCCTTATGTTCCTCATCTCTTCAAGACTGAAGCTAGATAGCTCACATTCCCCGATTCCTTTGTAGTGACGGCCCAGAGATTTGACTTGCATTCAAGCAAGATCTGAACTCAAAATTCAACAAAGTGAAGCAGCAGTTCTATTCTGAGAATTTGCTCTTTTGGCAACAGTGGTGGTGGAGCCTTTAGTATTTTGATGCAGAGTGTCTGCTATTTAGTCTTGAGTAGCAAAAGTATTGATTAATGATGGCAATGTTGTTTGCTCCAAAGAAACCCTGTGATATAATTGGACATTGTTTCTCTACAGCGGATTCAAGGGCAGGCACTCTGACCTCTCCAAAAAGTCTTAAGCAACTAACAGTGTATGAAATAATCTTTTTCTGTACCAACTAATTAGAGTGAACTCTAGTTCATTTGGAACTAAGGATTTTAACAAATGTCGTAACTTTGAAACAACAAAGGAGCTTCAATAGCAGGGCTTATGTGGAACTGACTATGGAGGACATGATGGGGGCAGAAAGCCAAGATTTAATGACCTCAGGCTAGAAAGCCAGTTCATTTCTAAGTGCGATAGCAGAACAGTTGGTCACACTGTTGCTTGCTATACCTTGGAACTCTGAGCACTTGCCAAGCAAAGCTTTATGATGTGAATGACTGGAATAAAATTTAGAATGTTTCCATGTGTTTATTAAGTTTTACTGCTTTCAAAAATGCACTGCAGTGGAGATGCACTCAAACTAAATCCAGACAGTCTGTAAGCAGACATGCAAGGGAGCACAGCTATGCCCAAAGAAGCTCACTCTGCTTGTGTCCTGTGATATAAATTGACTGAGGATATGATTATTTGGAACCCTGCAAGGTTGAGAAAAGCCAGCTGCCTCTGTATACAAAAGTGTAATATACATGTAACAAGCAAGGATTTCTAAGGGCAACTTCAAAAAGGTAATCGTTGTCCCTGGGTTTTTCAAACACTTTCCTTCAGGAAGTCTCTGGGTGACAATGAAGGCATTTCAGCGGCAGAGATGAGATCGGGGTGTGGCATTCATTCACACCTTGGCATGCTTACTATTTTGCAGAAGCTGAGGCAGCAACCATCAGGTCAAACGAAATAAATGAGAACTGAGGATCCAGCAGTAGAGAAAGTTTTCAGGCTTATATGGTTATTCATAAAATTGTCTTAAAGCCCAATTCCTGGAATCTTGGTAAATTTTTCAGGGAACAGTATTGTCAAATGTACCTCAGGCTTGCCACAGCTGTACTTAAAATAAATGCTCCCTCCCCCTACCTAAGAGGTAGGTGGTCGGCAGAGGGAGAGAGAGAGAATCCCAAGATGACTCCAGGCCCAGCATGTGTGCCCGATGCAGGCCTCAATCCTGCAACCTTGAGATTATGATGAGCTGAAATCAAGAGTTGATGCTTAACCAGCTGAGCCACCCCTAAATGTCTTATTCTTAATGCTTCTACTTGTCATCATCATCTTATAAGGAATGCTTCACTAATTTGTAGGTCATTCTCATGCAGGCGTCATGCTAATATTCTCTGTATTGTTCTGATTTTACTATAGGTCCTGCAAAGTGAGTACCTTTTAATTGTTTTTAGAGCCCTCTTTCATTTGCTTTCACTTTCCAGAGTATCTGCTTAGAGTGAGGGCACTGACAAATTGGGCAAGGAAGGTCTCCCCAGACATAGAACCCAGGACCTGGGGGAAAATGGAGAGAAGAAATTCATCTGGAAAGTACAAGGGCCTGCAGATTGATTAGCCAAGTCACTGTGACTCCTGCTGCTAGGATCAGAAAGTCCTGAGTATACCTGTCTAGTTGGAGTCTATATTTACTAATGTACCAACAATGGTCATGTCTTTCCCACTTACCTGATTACTGAATGAGACTTTTAAATTGCTGTTACCCTATCTTCTTCACTCATCATAATAATACATTGGGAATTTTGGAAGATGATGACCTGTCTTTAATTTAGAGGTCCCAAGATCACAAAGAACCAAACCTGGAGCTGATGGAGAGACTATCCAAAAATCATGGACTTCAAACTAAATGCAGTAACTAGATAAAATTTTGGAATGGCCTACCTGGGACCAGAGAGGATGAATTAATTTTACTTAAATTAAATATAGAGATAGGAAGGTTGTATAAAATGTTGAATAGTCAATGAGGTGGAAGGTAGCAGACGCTGTAAATGTATTCCCTCAACAACCTTTCAACCTCTCCTTTTCCTTTTCTACTTTTAGGCAGTATTTCAGCCTTCTGTGTAACTGAACATGACCACTTGACATAATTCTGCTGTTCTGCTGATAAAATATATAAGCCTAAGTCTTCTAGTCTTATCTCTTATGTTTTCCTCTTTTATCTCTCAGCAATAAGGATAGAAGACAGCTTTCACTAAAGACATTAAAACAGGAAAATTAGAACAGAAAAGCTCTGTTCTTTGATGGAATAATTCAGTTACTGTACTAGCTTATACCTGGAATTCTTATACCTGGAATTCTTGTTGAAGAAGTAAACTGCTTTTTATTAATAAAGAATTATGTCTTGGGATCCCTGGGTGGCACAACGGTTTGGCGCCTGCCTTTGGCCCAGGGCGCGATCCTGGAGACCCGGGATCGAATCCCATATCGGGCTCCCGGTGCATGGAGCCTGCTTCTCCCTCTGCCTGTGTCTCTGCCTCTCTCTCTCTGTGACTATCATAAATAAATAAATTAAAAAAAAAAGAATTATGTCTTAATGTGAAAGTGAATGAAATTCTAATAAAACCAAGTAGGAAAATAATAAACTATGAAATTCATTTTGCTTGATTGTATATAAAATAATTTAAAATGTTTAATTTATGAGCTATTACTCTTTTTATACTTCCTGTGTTTTATGTCACAACTATTTAACATGTTTCATAAACCCTGAGTTTTATTAAAAAACAAAGTTTTGCATTTCATGTGGGAAATGATAGGTTCACATAGGAAACAAAATTTGACAGCAAGAGAAATATCCTCATATATAAGAAAAAAATCTGTCATGTACAATAGAAAAAAAATAGTCCCATTAAATCTTCCTCTCCTAGATCATATTCAACTTGGTTAAGTTAGCTAACCAAGACTTCTGGGTTAGTTTACCAGTTTGTGAACCCAGCTTCTTCTTCTTCTTCTTCTTCTTCTTCTTCTTCTTCTTCTTCTTCTTTTTTTTAACAGTAGGGAATAAGATATTTTATTGCATGAACTCTTGATAAATAAAATAAATATTGTTAGAACCATTTGCATTCTAGTTTTCCTGTAGGTAAAAATAATTCCCCTCTTAGAGAGTGGTTCATGTGTCTAATTTTATGTTTTTTTTACTGTTAAAGATAGGTGTTGTTTCCATAGAAATAAGAGAAGAAATAAAATATCTTATTTCTTCCCAAATTAAAGGAGAACATTTGCCTTCCCTAAAGGACTCAGGATTTTTGCATGTGTCTGTGTTTTGTCTTTAATTCATAGGTACTGTAATCTCTATAGAACCAATTACTATTTGGCCAATTTCTTTTTGGCAGCCATCCAAATGACTAATTTCTTTATAATTATTTATTCCAACTTTACAAATGGTCTCAATGCAAATATTTTTGGATTTACAATTTCCTGGAGAAGGTCCAATATCTATCTCCAATGATTAAAGCAAAAAAACAAAACAAGAAAAAAACAAAACAAAAATAAAACCCACGCCTTACCCAAGTTATCAGAGTTCAACCCATTCTGAGAAAAATTGCTTTACATTGAGAGATGCCCATAAATTCATAAAGTTCATAAAGCCAGAATTCGATGGAAAGAAAGAAGACCTTGCCTAAGTAATCATATCTGATGGGAAGTCATTACTAATGTAGCATATTAACAGTTGTTGAAGAATGAAAACTGCACCTATAGTGAGATCTAATGAAGTAAAATATATCTTATGGGGCAACTCTGTCAGGAATTAAAGCCAAAAGGAAGTGATGTTACATTAAAAATCACATCTAAGCACCCAGGTGGAGTCTGCCTTTGGCTCAGGTCGTGATCCTGGGGCCCTGCGATCAAGTCTCGCATTAGGCTCCTTCAGGGAGCTTGCTTCTCCCTCCGTCTATGCCTCTGCCTCTCTCTGTGAATGAATCAATAAAATCTTTACCAAAAAATCATGTCTATTAAAATTATATAAAATTGTAGCCTCACATTTTAAGTGAAATAAATGAGAATTCCAAATTTTAAATAGTATTATACTGGGTTTGGTTAACATTGAGAGATTAAATACACATGAATAAATGCGTGTGTTTGTGTGTGTGTGCACGCATTGAAACAAGCTATAAGGATATATACTGAAATGTAGGTGACAGAATTAGTAAAGATTTGCTATTTTATTCTTCATATTTATGTTACAACCTCAAACGAGTATTTTAAAATATCTAGTAATTGTAAATAATCCCATTTCAACTCAGGCTTCAAAGCAGAATATTGACTAAGAAAATCAGCAGCCAGGAACCGGTAAGAACCATCCTCAGGCAAAGCAGTAGCAGCAGCTTTTTAAACAGTAATTAAATTCTCTAGTTACAGCTTAATTCCTTAAACTCTGACCCATCAAATGGAAATACTGCGAGACACTCAGTGTTCACATTTCCTTTTAGTGATTTATTATGAATTATGTAACCTACTTCCTTTGCCATATTGATGTTTCATTTGTTCCTGAATTAAGATCCCAACCCTATTCACCTTTGAATTCTATTACAGCAGATGAACAAACTCTAAGTTCAAAACCCAGGGACAGTGCACAGCAACTATTCCCACCTGTATTTTTAAGGACAATTTAGTTTTGGGTATCAGGATAAAAAAAAAAAAACGACACAGTCCCCATTATTTCACTATTAAGTTTTCTCGAGGTTTTCCTTTATAGTAATTGGGCCATTATAAATTAATGACAAAGAAGATGGTAAAAACAAGAACAAGGTGTCAATTATATTATTAGTGGCACTTTTGAAAAAGGACAGGAGGTGAAGAGGAATTCAGGCACTGGCATTTAAGGGCTGGCTGAAAGAAGACTTTGTACCGTAACGGATCAGAGAACCAAAAGGCAAAGCAATTCCTTGTAAGACAGACGTGTTTGCCTGCCCTGCCTTCAAGCCCCCCAATTAGATTATGAATACCTCAAAGTCTTATATTTTATCTTTATATCTAGTATTTTCTTCACAGAAAGTAATGTTGCAGAATAATTTTAATAGCCATCTTAAGAATTATTAAATACTATTAAAATTAGCATTAATCAAAATTAATGTTAAAATAATAAAGGTAAAAAAACTTTTATTTATTTATTTATTTATTTATTTATTTATTTATTTTTTGAATTTATTTATTTATGATAGAGAGAGAGAGAGAGAGAGAGAGGCAGAGACACAGGCAGAGGGAGAAGCAGGCTCCATGCACCGGGAGCCCGATATGGGATTCAATCCCGGGTCTCCAGGATTGCGCCCTGGGCCAAAGGCAGGCGCCAAACCGCTGCGCCACCCAGGGATCCCTAAAAAAACCTTTCGACAAATACTTCAGTATCCATTTTACTGTGAAATGAGAGACCACTTCCAAAGACAGAGATTAGGAGATCTATACAGGATCACTTATATGTGGAGTTTACAAAACCAAACTAGTAAAAAGAGAGTAAAATGGTGACTATCAGAAGCTAGAGCTGAGAGAACAGGACAGGTTTTGTTTAAGGGCAAAAACTTGCACTTAGTAGATATATAAGGCCTGCAGAGCTAATGCACAGCATGGTGAATATAGATAACATTATAATAATCATCTAATATGCTGAGAGACTAGATCTTAATTATTTCCACCACAAAAAAGAAATAATTTTGTGATATGATAGAGGCACAATAGTAATATTACAATATATAAAGGTATCAAATTGAGGTTTTGTACACCTTAAACTCATATGGTGTTATATCTCAGATATATTTCAAATAAAAATAGCAGGTAGAAAACTGGAGGATCAAATGGCTCTCTCAAAAATAGGAGAAATGTATAAGGTGTGTAAGAGCATGTATGCAAGATGTGTGTGGTTTCTATTCACCATTTCTTTGGTTGACCATATATTTTTTCAACTCTGACACATTCTTCATTGTGTTCTTAGGACAAGGATTTCTTTTCCCTACTCCTCCACCAAATGAACATTTACCTGTCTTTCAAGACCCAGATAAAATATCACCTCTGAATGAAACTTCCCTGGGAGTTGGTTTTGTTTTTATTGTTTTTCATTTTTCAATCCCTAGTAACTATAGCAAGTAGATATTCAATATTGCTTATTAAAAAAATAAAGGAAATATCACATCATTCTTTTCTCTATGTTCTTACCAATACATATTTCTTATCTTTTTGATTTGCCATTCTGACAGGTACAAGCTATATCTCATTGTGGTTTTGATTTATATTTCCCAGATGATTAGGGATGTTGAGTACCTTTCTTGTGTGTCTGTTGGCCATTTTCAGATCTTCTTTGGAAAATTGTCCATCAAATAGTCTGCTTACTTTTTTTTAACATGTGGGAGTTTTTTGGTGTAGAGGTTTACAAATTTTTTATATTTTGGATA